CCACTGTGTCCAAATCTTCAGATATCTCCAAGAGGAGAAAGAATTCTGCTTTATTTTAGTGTGTGTGCTCACTCTCCTTATATTAAAAAGTTTATAATCAAAGAGAATAACTATTACTGGCTGAACAAGCACAAATTTGTGGCCGCATCTGGCTTGTGGGATAGCAATCTTAAAATTTCTGATGAAGAGGAAAGATGTTTTCCCTGGAGGCCCTGAGGACTAAATTCAAATGCTGGTTCTGCTACTAACATGCTGGATGAGTTGCAATAACTAATTTACTTCCCTGAACCCTAATTATTTCATCTCAAGGATGGATACAGAATAGAGAATTTTTCCCTCCCAACCCTCTAAGTTTCTAGAACAAGAAAACAGAGGGACATAGATTTCTTTGTGAAGAGAACAAAAAATATTTGATGATCTTATATGACGACATGGGTGTTTGGACATCCCCACACACATCTGGCTCAGGAACTCTGATAGGCTGCTGAGGTGAACAGGACATAGACAAGATTTTGACAACATTTTGGAAAAGAGTCAGGATGTATCCAGTGTGAATGAACAACAACCATGCTTAGGTAGAGTTCCCTTTGCAAGGAAATTGCCCACACTGTGAGACCCAACAGTTACTCTGAGAGATATCTGATCCCTGAGCGGTATCTGATCCCTTTGTAGGCTGGGGAAGTCCAGTGAACTTGTGAGAAGAAATCAATGACCCATAGTCTTGAGATGTTTCATTCTGGACTCAAAATATTACACATGAGTTGCTGTATCTTCCTTTAAATCCACCACACGAGATTTCATTAGAGCACAGATTCAAAAAACATCTTGGACTTCAAGTATTGGGCCTATCCTCAGCCCCTATGTAGTCTACCCTAGCTAGAAGGTAATCTAGCCACAGGGAGAATCTATTTCCCATCCCATCCCCCAATTATTTTCCCTAAATGTTAGCTCTTTGGATGATCTGTCATGGAGAAAGTGGAATGAGCTTTTGTAGGGGAAGAGTGAGAAGGCAGACCATAAAAATTGAAGGTAGAAGGAAGGAAGCATGTAAAGAAGAAAGGAGGGAGGGTAAAGGGAAAAGGGAAGGAAGGACACAATAATGGAAGGAACAAAGGAATAAAAATGGGAATGGAGGAAGGAAAGAAAAGGAAGGAAGAAAAAAGGGAGGAAGGAAGAAAGCAAGAAAGGAAGGAAAGAAAGGAGGAAAAGGAAGGAAGAACAGAAGGAAGGAAAGAGAAGGGGAAGGAAAGAAGAGAGGGGATTGAAGGAGGAAGAGAGGAGAAGGAGAAGGAGGAAAGGAGGGAGGGACAGAAGGAGGGGGAGAAAGGAAGGGAGGAAGAAAGGGAAGAAGGAAGGAAGGAAGGAAGGAAGGAAAAGGAAGGAAGAACAGAAGGAAGGAAGAACAGAAGGAAGGAAAGAGAAGGGGAAGGAAAGAAGAGAGGGGATTGAGGGAGGAAGAGAGGAGAAGGAGAAGGAGGAAAGGAGGGAGGGACAGAAGGAGGGGGAGAAAGGAAGGGAGGAAGAAAGGGAATAAGGAAGGAAGGAAGGAAGGAAGGAAGGAAGGAAGAAGGAAGGAAGGAAGGGAAAAGAGAGGGAAGGAGGGAGGGAGGGAGGGAGGGAGGGAGGAAGGAAAGACAGTAGGAAGGAAAGAAGAAAGGAATGAAGGAAAGAGAGGGAGGAAGGGAGGAAGAAAAAAGGAAGGGAGGAAGAAAAGAAGGAAGAAAGAAAGGGAAAAAAGCAAGGAAGGAGAATGGGAAAGAAAGGAGAGAGAGAGGAAAGAAGAGAAGAGGAGGAAGGGAGGGATAGAAGGAGGGATGGAAGAAAGGAAGAGAGGAAGGAAGGGGAAGGAGGAAGGGAGGAAGGAAGAGAGGGAGGAAGGAAGGAACAAATGAACAAACCAAGGAATGAAGAAAGGAAGGAAAGAAGGAAGGACAAAAGGAGGGAAGGAGTGAAGGAGGGAATGAAGGAAGGAAGGAAAGAAAGAAGGAAGAAGAAAGGAAGGAAGGAAGGAAAGAAGGAAGGAAGAAGAAAGGAAGGAAGGAAGGAAGGAAGGAAGGAAGGAAGGAAGGGAGAGAGGGAGGGAGGGAGGGAGAGAGGGAGGGAGGGAGGAAGGAAGGAAGGGAGGGAGGAAGGGAAGTGGGAGGGAGGGAAGGAAGTAAAGAAGGGAGGATTCTGTTTAGAATGTGTGTGTGTGTGTGTGTGTGTGTGTGCATACACATACAAAGGCCTTAGACAGACTGGTATTTCACTCCATGATGTTGCTTTTCTCATTGAAGAAGCCTCTTAAATCCCCTATCACTGCCATCTACTATCTCCCTCCCCTAATATTTTCTCTGTCCCCAAACTTGTTGTGGAGCTGGAATGAGACTAGAATTCCACAGGAGGATCTCTCAATTGAAAACTGATCCTGTTTTCTTGGGTCTCTGAATTTATTCCAAGCACCGCACTGGGACAGGAGACCCTTGAATCTAGGTCAGAACACGCAGCCTGAATTGATTTTGCTAGAGTGATGCCTCTCCCATGACAGCCCACTAGAGATCACACTGCTCTTGGGAGAAGAGAAAAGAAAATGAGGAGGATAAAGAAGGTGAAGGAGGAGGGAGAAAGGGAGGAGGTGGTGGAGAGGAGGGGGAAGCATAGGGGAGAGACAGAAAGAATAGATGGGGAGGAGCAGGGGAGGGAGAGCTGGAGGGAAGAGAGGAAGGGGTGTGGGAGGGAGGGGGAAGGGAGCCCCAGCCCCTTCACTACCTGGGAAGCGGCTGAGAGTCAAGTGAGCTGTTTCTACTATAGCCTGCTGAGAAGCATGCTGTCAAAAGTGATGCTCTTTACTGTGGTGTTTGGAGAATAAAGCAAAACATCCCGTGACTTTGTGCAGTTGTTGCTTATTTTTCTTTTCTTCCCTCCTGGTTTGTTTGTTTTTATGCATTTTCAAGTTTGCACAGTCCTGCCTCTCTGGGTAAATGTCGCTCCAGTTCCCCAGGGACAGATGCTTTCCTCCCCCCGCCCCACCCCAGGGCATGGAGGAGGAGCTCCTGCACCCCCACAGCCTCACAAGGTCCCCCACCAACATCACAAGTTCCCAGCTAGGTCCAAGGACAGGGGCCAAGCCAACTTCTGCCCTCAAGGCTGCAGCTCCAACCTCTGTTTCATAGACTCATGTATGACCTGTCTCCTACTCCCTACCTCCCACTCCCCAAAATTCTTCTCTCTTTCTCTGCTTGCTGTGTCTGACCCTGCCAGACAAAGCACAACATTGAACAGCCTTTCATTAGAGGCTGTGCACACCGCAAAGCACAGGTGTACTCAGGAAATTAGATCATGGAACCACAAAGGTTGGTCCCTTCCTCCTCCCTCTTGGGAATCACACATTAGGAGAAATGGAAAGAATCACAGAGAACTCCCTATCCATTTTATTTAATAAATGGGGAAACGGAGACCCCACTAAGTGACTCAAGGTCATGCCAGAGATTAGAGGCTGGGCAATACTTGCCCTTATACTGTATGTTCTTCCACAAGCTAAGGAATCTGATGAGAACATATCAATTGGGTTTTTTGTGAGGTTCAACACTTCTGTGGTTGGACTCGGGCACAGGAACTGTTCGTTAAGAATTAAAAAAGAAGGCAAGGCCGGCACCCATCAATTTGGGGGTGGTCCAGACATCCATAAAGGAGGAGAAAGCACTGCTGAAAAGATCTGATGGATTTGTATTTTCCATAGACAGGGTTGCCCTAGGTTTCAAGAATTAACTTATTTTTATAGTCTGGAGAGCCAGGGATGAAAAAGCCCTTTTGGGGTGAAATATAACAATGAGTGGTATTTAAGGAGTTCTTTTGCCACCGAATGATTGCAACAGACTTTGCACAACAGAAGCTAGAGACAGTGGGTACAGAACAATGTGGGTTTTGCAACCACCTTTTGTGTCCTCTGAGGGAGAAGGGTCGTGGGAAAACTGGTGGGCTTCCCCTGCTCCTCTCTGACCCCCAGGTATGCACGGCAGGATGAATCGCTTTTTGGAAACTCTCTTCCCTGGGAGAGCCCACCAAGACCACAACTCTTTCTTTCTCCTCTGGGATCTCATTAAACAAGCTTGAGAGAATGCTGTGTGACCCTGGGCTGGCCCATCCCCTTTGGGTGCTCAGGAATGCTCCAGTAACAGGAAGTATGATAGGAACACTGGATGCCCGGACTGATTCTCTAAGGCTTCTGCCAGCTTTCACTCTTAAGAACACTTACAGAATTCTGAGCAGAAAAGTGCCACCATTATTTCAGAAATTGCCCGTTAATATCCTTTATAAATCTATGATCTTTACCAGGAATACCATCCCCATCCCTCCTAGTTATCCAAATTGTGTATCATCAGATGCCTGGTCAAAGATAAAGATATAGATGGATGATGAAACAGTTAAAAGACGCTGGGCTATGAGGGCATCTCAGGAGCCAGATTTGGGAACTACATTCAACCTCAGTCATCACTCAAATACTGATCCACGGTGAAGCAAATTCAGGGTCTTGACATTGTACACACACACACACACACACACACACACACACACACACACACACCATTTTGGAAGCTGGATATTCCAGCATTCCAGAGCTTAAGAGAGTGAAGGTGCTTATCCTCTCCTTGTTCAAATGGTGACACCATGGATTCCCCCCACCCTTAGCCTTCAGAGAGGGAACGTGACATTCTTGGGGTAACCCCACATGCTACCGTGAGCTCTGGGATGGCAAGTCAGATAAAGAAAGTTTCCTTCTTACCACATTTCTGATTCCCTCCTTCATTCCCAGAATGGAGAGTTGGGGTGGGGGTGGGGGTTCCCAAAGGCAGAGCAAGCCAGAGGCTGAAAGATCGAGAACAGAGAGAGAAAGACACACACACACACACACACACACACACACACTTTAACAGCTACATACTAGGCTCCCCACTTCCAGAATTCCCCTGTCTCCACTGGGCCCCCAATGGCCCTGGGCAAACTGCCCCAGAATCCCTTACCTCTGCTCGGCAGAGCTGTATGTCTCCCCTCTCTGGCAGCTGCTCAGGGTGACGGGGTCAAAGTTGTCGAAGGAGCGGAGGGCCACCCCCGAGATGGCGACCAGGGCTGAAGTGAAGCTCACGCGCACGGCCCGGCTGTGGTAGAAGGGCTGGCTGAGGTCATGGACCACAGGGATAATCAGAGGATTGTTTCTGCAGCTCAGCACATGGAGGCCTGTCAGGGGAGACAGAGAGCCGCGGGGCCAGGCTCATTACTCAAGGCCAGTCACGCCCTCCCCAACGGGCCCTTCCCGAAGCCCCCAGACCCTTTCATGTCCCTGTACAAAAGCACCATTGGGTGGCCAGTGGGGATTTTGAGTTTGATTGAAAGTTTCTTTGTCTGCCCTTTTCTCTTGCTTCCACATCTTTCCAATCCCCTTGCCTCCCTGCCCCCTAAGCTTTCCCTTCACCCAGAGCTCAGAGCCACCCTCCCCCCCCCCCCCATTCCCTGCTACCCCTCCCAAAGGCCACCCCTAGCCAAGCCTCCCTGGCCCTCATCTCCTCCCACTGTGCATTAGGGTTTGACAGTCTGAATTGCTAGCTTGCAGGCCGCCTTCCCAGTCAGTCATAAAGAGGATGGGCAGAGTTCCCGCAGTGGGCCTCTCCCAGGGTAAAAAAAGCTTGTGCTGCTGGGAGATCAATGGGGAGGAGCCCTGAGAAGCAAGGCTGGGAGGTGGCTTCTCAGGAAGGACTCAGAACTGCCAGCTATGGGCAGTCCACGGAAACCCAAGACAGTTCTTTCAGGATCCTCGGTTTTGGGGAGAGAGAAAGAGAGAGAGACAGAGAGAGAGAGAGAGAGAGAGAGAGAGAGAGAGAGAGAGAGAGAGAGAGAGAGAGAGAATACAGCAGTTGAGATGCTTTCCTTGCACACAGCTAACCTGGGTTGGATCCTCGGCATGCCATGTGGTCCCCTGAGCCCTCACAGCAGTGATCCCTGAGGCACAGAGCCAGGAGTAAGCCCTGAGCACAACAGGGTGTGGCCCATAAACAAAAACAAATAAACAAACAAAATAATCACAACAACAGAAAAGTCTGCAGCTCTCCACAGTTACAAGGGGCACTTCCCAGGCTGGAAGGGGAATGGGGTATGGCGAAGAGGAGAGGCAAAGGGAAGATGTAGGAGGGACAGGATGGGATGGGGAAAGGGATGTGGGCTTGGGTGTTAGTGCACTTGGGTTCAAGTCTTGAAGGAGCCATGTTCTAATACTGTATCTCCAGCAAGCCCCACGCCCTCTGTTTCTGTATAAAAAACTGGAAACCTCTTAACTGGCTTCACTAGGCTCCCCATTCAATAGTACCTCAGGTAAAGTTAGGGCCCCATCCTGTGGTAAAGCTTTCACAGAGGGTACCAGGATGATTGGGGACAGAGAAGCAGAGGATTCTGGAAACCTGGGGCACCAAGAAGACAGATCTGGAGAGCTTCTACAGAAGGCACCAAACTTTCCTCTGACTTCACTGCATGAACTCTCCTTTTTGGAGACTTTTTTTTTGCAATTCCCATGCCAGCTATGAAAATATTTGCTTCTCACATAGAGAAATTATCCTAGGATTCCAGAGAAGTTAAGAGGGTGTTTCTTTCTCTGCCTTATGGGTAAGTTCTCACTTGCTTTTACAACTGAGTAAGGAAATAAACATAAGCACAACATCCAAATGTCCTCCTCGTTCCCTAGGCTTCTGCTTAACCCTGACGTGACCCCTAGAAGGCCTGCTTCCTCTTTGCAAGAGCTTAATGAGTTGGAAGGTTGGGCCTGGAGTTCCTGGCACCCAGAAAAACCATGCAGGGTAGGCAACAGACAGGAAGCTGAGGGAGAGGGGTATGAGGACTCTTCTTCGTATCAGGAAGGCTAACCATCATCTTGAGCAACAGTTCCTTGAATTCACTATCAGAATGGCTGAATGAATGGCTTAGATTCTCCAGGGAAGTGAGTCGCAGGGCAGGATTCAAACTGAGGCCATCAACTTTGGAGAAGAGAATTTTTTCCCCCTCTGAACTAAGGAGCCTGTGAGTTTGCGGAGGGAGAGTCAGTTCTAGTGACAGGTTCGACACTATGCTGGGGAAGCTTCTCTATAGCTAGGTAGATGCAGAATGCTGAAAGTGGCCTTTTCTGGGTTGTGCACCCATAGAGTTCTCCAGAGGTGGTTCGGAGACACAGCTACTGCCATGTGGGATATTCATAGATATCTCTGGTGACAAAGTGCAAAGCAGGAGACTATGGCTACACCACCTTAGTGGTCCTACACGAGGTTTCTTGAAGCTTCACTTTCAAGTTTCAAGTGCTAAAACCTACAATGAGGAAACAATCTTTGTTCCCCAGTGTTTTGTCAGAATCTTATGGGGATTGGCTTAAGATCAAACACCTCTAACAGGAATTAAGGCTGGACAATGACCATTTGTGTCTCTAGCACAAGGTCCAGGCTTTTCTGGAGCCACAAATGTACATCCTGATCAGAAGATTCAGAGTGTAAATCAAAGAGGCAAGAAAGAGGAAAGGGGAGAAGAACACAATCCCACAATCCCCTGAGCAGATGTGGCTGCTGGTCTCAAGAACAAGTAGCTCCAGAGAAAGAGGCTCACCTAGATCATGGCTCTGATCTTTGGTGTCGAACAGCTGGACACTAATAGTCTCCTGCTTTTGGTCCCCGTAGTAGGTTCCATCAGTCACAAGGTGAACAATGACAGCTGCAGCCACCATAGGCTGGGAAAAGTATGCCTGAAATGCAGACAACACAACATTCACTCAATGTTTGCACTGCTAGGAAGTAGCTGTGGGATCAGAAGGGTGGGAACTGGCTTGCAAGGAGAGTCTTCCACTTTAGGTGGGAATAGGGAAGCAGAGATGCCTAACAGTAGCATAAGCTCAGAGGCTCTTCTCTAGTCTCGTTCTTATGCCCCTGAGCTGTGCAATTCAGAATGTTGACCGGGCCACTTTTCTGGGCTTAGGTCTCCTCAAATCAAAATGGTGGATTAAATAACTTGCTACTTCCGAGGATGGTGGTGAAGTTCTAGGAAGAGAATCCAAGCAAAATGCCTGGTATAAACTAAATGCACAAAATAATGATATTCTTGTATTTGTCACTTCTCCAAGTTCTCTAGATATTGAGAAGATGAACCCAGATTAGATCCAATCTTGGAACTGCTGCAGGTTGTGGAGCTCAATGTATTTTTTGAGAAGTCATCACCTTTCCATGCAGTCCATAGCCCTACATTCTATGCAACAAGTGCCTTGCAGAGAACTGTAGCTTGAATGAATGGAGTCACTTCTCCCTGTGGCTCAGCAAAGATTTCAGGGAGGAGAAGGACAACTCTAACAGTTTTGAGCAATAGGAGGTTCCAGACAGACAAAAGGTATCTAAACTCTTTCTTACACCAAGAGTGACTGGGACATTCTGTGAGCAATTAAAAGATTCTATTTCAGGAAGCATCCCACTGTGAAGTATTTGGTTCCCTATCCTTACAATTAACACCCTCCATGGGTAAACAAACGATCTGAGAAAGGGTCATAGAAGTCAGTGCTTCCTGGGGGCCACTGCTGGAGATTCTAAGACTCTCAAAGCTTTGTCTTACCCGGAGCCAAAAAGTGGTCTGAGCCAGCTGGGAGTATGAGTAGCTGATAGTGCAGGGGTACCAGGCATGCTGGGAAATTCCTTCACTGAGATCTATCACCTTGGTTCGACACACCTAGAAACAAAGAGAGAAAAATGTGTTAGTGGTTGGAGAAAAATCCATTTGACAAAACTATATTATCCACTTTTTTAATATCAGCATTTCAGGAGGAGACAGAGATGGGTAAATTAATTTATTCTAGGAACTTTTTTACTATACAAGAAGAACCATAAATGTTAAAGGATAAAGGATAATACACACATATACATATATGTATATACATATATATGTAGAGATGACAGAAAAATTACCATAGGGAAAAATTTGGGAGAAACTGAAAACTGAACTAGGTCTGAAAACAAAGTGTAGGAACACGGGGAAGGGTATAAGAAGTAAAAAGGAACACAATTAAAAACACAAGAGGAAAGCAAAAACTCAAATTGTAATAAACTTCTGGTATTAGTAAAATTAAGGGAAAGTGATAGACAAGGTAGAGGGAGGAACTGGATCTCAGAGTTTTGAATATTAAGCAAATTTAGAATAAATATATAACTTTCATTATACTGATGACGGAGTTAATAATATAATCATGAACACTGCTTCCCTCAAAGAAAATTAACTCCCCCACTTATGTATATACACACATGCATGCATACACACACAAACCCATATTTGTTATCAACGGAAAATACAACAAACAGCATTAAAAGAAACACAAATTCCTCAAATTCAGGGGTTTCTTACACATCTAGAAGTAACTTCATTCATTGGGTTAATCATTCAAATATTCAGTAGCTATCTCAAGCCTTCTGGAGCAAGACGGCAGACAAGACAGATAGTAATGAACTTAGAGTTGACATTGTGTGCAGCTATACAGTTGTGCATACACGACTAAATACTGTAGGTCAGAAAATGGAAACACGACATGATGAAGGATAGAAAAAGCTAATCTATTCTTCAGATTGGTGCTAATCTATTCTTGAGATTGGTCAGACCTTTCACTGAGGTCTTCCCAACTAAATGTTATTAATATTTCTCTAGTATGGCTCTTTTCTCAGCAATCTGGAATTTGTGATTGTTCATCCCTATCTGCGGTCTTCTCATTTGAAAAGCAAAACCAATATAGAAAAGCCTAAGAATCTTATGAGAGAGAGAGAGAGAGAGAGAGAGAGAGAGAGAGAGAGAGAGAGAGAAATTTAGCTGTTATATCTAATACACACAAATAAAACAAAAGGTGAAAAAAAACCTTATATAAAAGGATCAAGAACATCTACCCAATAATATTGATAATAACAACCTGTTGGGAAAGTGATGCCCCAGATATGAAATATTCACAGAATTTTATGCAGCAAAAAAATTTTAAGTGGGCCCAGTATATTCACAGACAAAGATGAGGTTATTTAACACCTCTTTCAGTTTGGGTCCCAAGCAACTAAAAAACAAGCAGAACAGTATGGAATGATCACACACACAAAGATAACACTAAGTGAATAAATGAATGAGGTGTCTAAGTGTGTAAATATGTTATTATGCCATTTATAAGAATCACCTAAAGCAAGAATATAAACTGTTCAGGGATTCATACAAATGAATATGAAGGAATTTAAAATAAAATGGAAAAGTTAAATATCAAATTCACAAACCAAAGTCAAGATAAAGATTCAAATTTTCTTTACAATCACAAGCATTGATACTTTTTTGAAATTAACTTTATTTTGTTTTAGAATAATTTTAGTCAGAGAAAAGTTGCAAAAGTAAAAGAGAGTTCCAAATATTGGATACCTGAATATCCAATATTTCCTTTAATGTGAACATCTTCATTGATTAGTCTTGAAACAACAACCAGAGCAGGTTAACCAACTTCAGAGAATTACACATTAGTTTTTAGTATGATCCATTTGAGTTAAGGAAACCTGGTTATGGCCTAAGTTCCCTCAAAATCTGAAGTGTGGAATCCATGTTTCACTTTTTTTGAGATCAATTTCTCTTTCACATCTGATGTTAGATTAAATCAAACATCAATGCCTAAAGGCATCATGAGTTCCTTGGGGAATCATCCTGTTAAATTTCTGTTCTGCTATTTCAATCAGAATACTTCCACTAATCTACTTTGCATATCGAGCTCTGTGTAGTACTTTAAGAAAACAGTCTCAGGGCCCGAAAGAGAGTACAGAGGGTAAAAGTGCTTCCTTTGTTCATAGCAGACACAGTTTCAAACCCTGGCACCACATATGGTCTGCCAGGAATAATCCCTGGCAACAGAACCAGAAGTCTGCACAGTCAGGTGTGGCCCATCCCCTACATCCTCAACTTTCCTCCTCTTCAGCTGCTCCTGCGCCCAACAAAACAAAACAAAGCAAAGCAAAGCAAAACAAAACAACAAAACAGTTTCACTGCTTAAAATAAAATAAAAGCACTGAAATGTGTCCATTGTCCTAGTATCATTCACTATATCACAGCATCTGCAATACTGTATTCACTTCCTATATGTCATAAGTAACTTATTTGTGTTCACTTTGGATCTACAACCAATAATGTTTAGGGTCTACACCTCAATCTATGCCCAGCAATGCTGGAGAACTGTGAGGTGTCAGGATAGAACCAGGGTCTCCCTCATGTAAAGCAAATTTGTATAAGCTCAGCCCATTGAGGTATCTCTCTGACCTATCACAGATAGTTTCTTCAGGAGAGTTAAGGTGCCAAAAATCAACCAACTCATTGCCCAGCCATTAAGCAATGCTTTAGTTATTCAAATCTCTAGAAACCAATATAGAGAGAACCATGGGTAAAACATAGCCTCTTTAATGGTCTGGAAGACTTTTCAAGTTTATTTATTTCTTCTCAAAAACAACTGGGATGGAGCCTTGGCAGATCTACCAGTAGATTGTGTTACATTTTACAACAGTGCGAGACTTTGCATAAACTATCTATGGCATTTGAAATCCCAGCCAGCAATTCGACATGTATCATTTTAGAATTCTTTCTCCTAGTGCTCTTAGCTGACTGTCCCCCCAAAAAGCAGGGTGGAGCCCATCTCCAGAGTGCTGGACTGGGGTGCTTATCTCTGCATCTAAAACACGCATGGTCACAGAACTCTCCAACATGAACAAAGCCCTCATATTGCTTAAATATAATTTCTTCTTATCTAGTCAGCTCTATCAGCACTAGATACGGCTTTAGAGGAACATGTTCCTGTTATTTTATTCTCTTCTTTGCCTGTTTAGTTTTGTGTTAGTTTCAGGCTGGCAGCAATCCTGACTATGGACAGTCAATGCAGATCAGAAAGGGGCACACAAATCTAGCTAAATCTTTGGCCAGGGCTCCAGTGCATCTTTAAACCATCTATGTTCCTGGGGTCACAAAGTTCTGCATTACCTGGGTTCCATGGGACTTAACTCCTGTGTGAGGCTCAACCTGAACATCTGGAAAGTGGCCTTGAGCATGGCGGCAGTTAGGTAGTGGAGGTCATTTGCCAGGACTGGGTCCCTTGGGGCAGTGAGAGCTCTCGCCAGCCCCCCTCTGTGGCGCCCCTTTGTGACCTTGGACCCTGGACTTAATGGGACCCAGGAGCAGAGATCCTCTGCCCGCTTCCCCCAGTCTCTGATGACACAGGGGTCACACCCATAAGCCACACCTTGCTGGCACCAGATAAGCTCCTCACCAGCTGCTCCTCCCAGATGGGAGTATAAAATGAGGCCCCCATAACCATACCACCAGACTCCACGCCACGCTGTTTTCACTTAAGGCACCCCAGAGGGGGCGGGTGAGAGCCCTCCCTGCGCCAAGGGACCCAGCTCCGGCAGCCAACCTCCACTACCCAACCACCGCCACGCTCCAGGCTGCTTTCCGGACACATCATAAGAAACTTCCTACCCATTTTCCATAATTACCACACCATGTTTGATGGAGATCACACAGTAGGTAACAAATCATAGAGAGAAATATATTCAGGAGTATGGTGCTGCCAGCAGGTCAATCTGTACCTGTGAGGCTAGTGCATCAGCAGCCTGATGGCGCCTTCAGACTTTCAGATACCCCAAAATTGCTGCTGTGCCTTTGGTCAGACCTTAAAAACTTGGGGCAAAGTTTACCAATAATGTAAATGGCCGAAAGTTAGGTATGTGGGAGACACACCCACAAATCACCTCCAGCTCAGCTATATAATTGGAGGCATGGCCTCTCTGGTTCCTGATTGAATTGCTTAATGGCCATGATCCCAGAGACTCAGAAACAAATCTTGAAACCCACCAACTTTTGGCAGAAATGTGTCCAGTCCCTGCAGTAGGTTGCTGGCGCCAAGCTATCCCATGTGGGAATAGGTTTTGTGCCTTGGCCTGTTTCCCCTGTGGAGCCAGCCCTTTCCTCCCCGTCTGAACGAGACCCCGAGTTGCCACCCATGAAGGGCCTCTCTGGCTCCTGATCACGCTGCTTAACAGCCATGATCCCAGAGACTCTGAAACAAATCTCGGAAGCCAGCAGCTTTTGGCAGAAATGCATCCAGTCCTTCCAGAAGATTATTGGCACTGGGCCACCTCAGGTGGAAATAGGTTTTGTGCCTTAGCTTGTTCCCCCTGGAGGCCCAGTGGTTGCCATCCTCCAGAGGCCACTAGACAGTCAGGTTTGGGCCCTCAGTGACGAGACACACTGGGCCTCATGGGATGGGGGTGGAGCCAGTCCTTTCTTCCCCATCCCAAAAAGACCCTGAGTCACCGCCCACAATTGGCTTCTCTGGCTCCTGATCAAGTTGCTTAAGGGCCATGATCCTAGAGACTCAGGAACAAATCTCAGAACCCATAAGGTTTTGGCAGAAATCCCTCGAGATTTAATTGTTAAAATTTTGGAATTTCAAAATCACGTGGCCACTACTGCAGCTGCATAACATCATATGTTATTCATAACTAGCAATAGAAAACAAATTGTCTACAGTTATCTTTTCGGCAGATATGAGTGTTGGGATAAAAATCCCAAATAATAATGCTGGGTCTGGTGTCAAAATATTGAATGCAATCAAAGTAGAGAGAGAGTAATGTGGGAATCATCTGCCCCACAGGTAGGGGGTGGGTGTGGGATGGAGG